TATTCTGTGTAAATGAGTGTCTTAAAGGTACGTTAAGATACTTATACCCTTAAAATTCTTTGAAACCAAGATATTGTAGGGAAACTTCGCTATAATAGTCCGCCATCTTGAATTAGCTGCCGATGTCACCTGATCGTGGTGCAAGTCACCAAATTAGTAAGGATCGTATGTATTCCGCGTAATGGATCGTATGTATTCCGTAAACTTCGTATGTTTCTAGTAACGGATCGTATGAATTCAGTAAAATTCTGATGAACTCCTGCAAAGTATGACCCCTTTTATGTGTTTAAAAGCTTGAGCATGTTTGTTTAATTAGTGGTAGTATCGGACGCCTGTCAATCATAATGTCAGGAATGTTTGATGACTGCAAAACAATAAATAGATGATAATTACACAAATAGTCCTTTAACAAACATGATATTGTCCTTCAACAAACATGATATTATCTTTTTAATCAGACGTATTATTAAAGAACAACATAATATCGATGTTTTAGCTGACAGTGTATAAATGGGCTTTAAGTCTGCAAAATGCCCTGCGTGTTTATTTTGTTCTATTTTACAACGCTGTACGTACAGAAAGTTTAAAGTTGTAACTACCAAAATTTTCTGCGTTTACATTGATTTGTATGAGAAACGTTTCCCTCTGCAAGCCACATTGTATGTTTTATTTTGTCAAGGTAAAACACTTTGAAGACCTCTTACCTTCGCCAAGTGGTATTCACCTTTAACCCTCAAACACCCAAACTTTTTTGTGACGTTAATGCCCGAACGGGGTCCAAATGGACTCCATTTGGTTTCTTTCAAATTTATATTCCTTTTTGCATCCTTTCATTGACCTTTGCACATATATTGGTTAAACATATTAAGATGTTTATTTTGACATGATTAAGTGTAAGAAAATTCCAGCTTATTATCATAATTTATGCAAAAATAGGATGAGGCCTGCAGTCATGAGCATGGGGTTGACCTTTGACCTCATATGATTGTCAAATTGTCCAACCTCTGAAAACCTGATGAACTAATTCCTGAGGTTAAGGTTACTTGGCAAACTGCATAATATTAAAGCAATTATGCTTCCTTAAAGACATTTTGAGGACATCCGTACAATTTTGTGTGTAGGAAGGTGCAAATACATGGCTGGGGTCCGTTTGTACGGTCTTACATCAGACTTCCGTTGTTATTTTTACAAATTTGTGCCGAGAACTTGTAGAAGAGGTTTACTGACAAAGTCACGGGAGGAATTTTTTGTAGAATAGAAAAAAATTATAGCACATAAAAATATACGTCTGGGGTCCAAATGGACCCCTTTCGGGTGTTTGAGGGTCAAGCATGAGGTATTTTAGAGATTCTTCTTGACTATGCAAAAGTCCTGATTTCGGTTTGTGTTAATTGTTAGTACTGTCTACGAATAGTAGTACGCATAACTTATTAGAATGGTCTGGTGGAAATCAGTTGCTCTGACAGTATAGTAACTACTAGTAGTTATGTTTGTACGTTCGGAGCTGTAACTCACGATATGCACTCGTATGTAGTTTATAATGTCTCTGCAAGTATGTGCAAGATGATACACATTCTCCACACCCTAGTAGTTTTTATAGGCCATATCATGTAATATTTTATAACACCCCTATTTTCAAAGAATTGTGAAGCTTTTGTGGGTCTGCGCTAGTGTTTTTTCCAAGTTGATATTCGGATATGGTTATCATCCGAAATTATAAGATCCTGAAATTTTAAGAGAAATCAAGCATATTTTTTCCTCATGAGATTTTGAGGATTTACTGTACTGGCCCGTAGACATACTTTAAAGTCCATTAGCCTACTGACGTCACGGTAGATGATACTGTACCGTATGATACTCTTTTAATATCTCGCTATAGTTACTTTGTTGTAATGATGCCAATTAGTTAAATTGGTACAGCAAGAATGCTATACAGCATACGAGAAGAACACTTATTGATTTGTCAGTACCCTTTCCATATGTGTTCTTGTATTAATAATTACATTTCCCCCTATTATGATCGTTTAAATTTTTCAATCGTTATGAAAGGCCGGATAAAACAATGATATGGTTTAGAAGAAATTTACTTTTTTTCAAATATTCAAACAAACTTGAACGTTGTCGTTGTATATAAATACATGTGAAAAATGTTCCCTAACTTCATATAATAGCATCCTATATTTGGCACGTGAGATTTGAATGTGGCTTTAAATGGTAAATTGTGTAAATGTCTTAACATAAACCAATTGTAAGGACAAATAAACAGTAAGCCCTCGATCTCTGCAAGTTTTTATTTGCTTGACAGCACATGGGTTATTTAAAAATTGGATTCTGAAAACATTTTCATAGCTTAAAACAAAGCACAAACTGTTAATTTCTACACATGAGCAAACATGGCCTACGATTAGGGCTAGTACACAGCAACCAAATAAGTCCCCGACCTATACAAGCCTTCATTTGATAGACAAAAAACACGGTTACTTTCACTAAACTATCGGATTCCATTGACATTCTACGTTGACGTTTTCAGAGCTTCAAACATAGTCCTATGTGCTACTTTCTGAACATGTCCAAAATTTGGTATAATAGAGACAAGTACACAGCAACCACATTAGACCAAACCTCTACAGGCATTCACTTGATCATTTCAATATATAGGGTTATCTTTAACATAGTGTGTCAAGATCACTGTTCTACATATATGTTGTCATCAATATGGCTCTAAGTTATTTTTCCAATCTTCTCACTACTTAGGACTGCTGCCCATCCTTGGGCACAGGCCACGGATTATTTATTGTTTATTTCTTTATTGAAAACCAAAACCCATCACAACCTCATGGCTGAATTGTGAGGTTTGTACAAAGTCGCGAACATGTTATATTAACTAATATCTTATTACATTTTGAAATATTCAGAAATACCATTGAAATTACTACTTACAACATTAAGATTATAATACTAAAATACGCAATAAATTGGACAATTAAAACATTTTTCAACTACTTATAATCTTTGAAATAGACTTGAACTATAGTATTTTGCATGTGCGACATTTAAGCGAGTTATTTTTTGTCAATCGCAGAACATGACCTATTGGTTAGGTTGTAACCACGTGAGAACACATTAAATGTCCAAGTTTCGCATGTATTTGATAGCAGTATTTATTGGTACCCCCAACACTGCTGACCTACTCCCTAACACCAACCCACCATGGCCCAACCTTCCGACATTTTTAAAACAGCCGAACAGTAGCTGACCTCGCCGAACACCAGCCAACCACGGGCTATCTTGCTCCCGACCTACTCCCAACCATGGTTCGGGGGCCATGTTCGACTCTGTATTAAGAGCTTTACAGACATTTCCTCTCAATAGAAAGTGTGATAAACCCTTAATGGTATTGATAAGAATTTTTGTACTTGTGACAAATTCAGTTAAGGTAAAACATCACTGCGCATAAATCATGTGAATGCGGAGGTCACAATTAATGACAAAATGTTGAAAATCATATTCTGCCAGGATATGAATAAATGTGATTCCATATAGAGAATACCACTAATTGAAACATATTGTGCTAATTACATTTTTACGATCATTTGAACATTAAAAAAAACAAATATTTCCGAACTGTTTTTTCAAATGTCACGTACATGTATACATTCCTTCTTTATCATAAGCTAATTTTACAACATAATGCAACATAAACATTATGAATTGGTAGTTGGTCTGTTTGTTACATCCTTTCAATATTTTTATCATTACCTTTGCTTCATTATCGTTGTTTATTTTTTAACGTATTATTTATTTCTTTTTAGGTCAATGGAAGAAGTACAAATGTACAAGTATCGTCTATATTGGTGTCTGTGTTTGTCCGATACGCAAAGTCTTTTTTACATAAATGTTTTGTTATCTTGGAGTGATGATAGGAATTTATTCTTCCTATATTGCTCTCTACCACTGTTTTAATTATTGAAACAGCAATATCAGTAATATTTCTCAAAATCAATACTTTTTGGTGGAAGAATTTTTTTCACATATGAACTTGCATCATTCTAAACATGGACGGTATTCAAACATTCATCGACGTATCATGGACGGCATTGTCCCTTACGTCTTTCAGGCACTTTTTATTCTCATACCCCATTTCTGCCCTAGCTACCCAGTGCAGGAAAGCCATCGTCCTGTGGTACACCATAGCTAAGAACTGGAACACTTGGATCAAGCCAAACACTGCAAGGGAGAGGATACCTAGCGGGTTGTGTCCGGAGATGTGGAGCACCTGAAACAGCAGGGGATGGAGCATGAGCGCGATTTTGGGACATGCTATCAGTAATGATATCAGTAAGTGAGTTTGTAAGGCGTACATAGATTTTGTCGTAGAGGACTTCTTTGCTGGAAAACAAGGATGTACAAAGAACTAGATGAAAAGAAACACGCGCGCACACACACACACACACACGCGCACACACAAATTACAAACACACACGCGCTCACTCACACAAACTCGCGCAAGCACACACAAATTACAAATACACGTGCGCGCGCGCGCACACACACACAAAATGAAAGATGCTATTACGAAGAGGACAGCCAAGACAACCGATTTCATTTTAATTGGAGAACCCTATTCATTGCTTCCTTCTAAACAAATAACACAGATTTTGGATTAATTTTTCTCCACAAGTTCCTAACAACGGCTGATTTATTGGTGAGATGCTTGTCAGCTTATTTGGTCAATGACATCTCTGCATAAAAAAATCAAATACTTTTATCTAATGTACATTGCAATTTTGTTTAAAAATTTTGGATGTATATTGTGCTACAGCCAATACAATAAATGAGTTTACATCAGACTTGGCGATGGTGACGATGAAGACCAGCCACAGCACGTTGACTACACTAAGCACTTTGATGGCGGAGTCCCGTAGGTCTTTCAGTTTGTCTTTCAGTGTGTTGTCATTGCTACTGTTAACCTCAAGGTCATCTTCTGCTTTAAGACAGCTGCAGAAAAGCAAGGTCATAGAAATCGAATGAAAAATATGAGCAACGTTTTACGCTATATTTATTATTAATTTCGTCAGAATGAATAAACTTTGCACATGCTTCATCTTCTTCAAGTGCTTTCCAAAACGAATATGACCGGTATAATAGATATCACTAAATTAGCCGATCACATACAAGATTACCTCATCGGAAACCACTGTGTTGCCATTGAATCAAAATGGTTGAAAACGGAAACACAAATAGGTCTCATTGCATATACTTTCTATCTACTAGTCAAATGTCTTTGCACAAGCACAAGAATCCGCAACGAATATTTACTGGGTATCTGAGATTTGCACACTGTCACTGGGTTTTAAATTAGATCTACAAGCTTGTCTTACTCACCTCTCTTTCAGTTGTTCCCACATGCGGTGTTGTTTCTTCATCATTGGCTCACCATCTTCCATGTCTAGCCTTGTTTTCTCCCTCATTTTTTTCTTTACCTTCTCTTGTAGTTTTTCCTCTAAACAGCGGACGAAAAGATACGTTGCTTTGTGGCTTTACGTCTATTTATCCGATAACACTAGTTTAACACTAGTTGGTTTAGCGTAATCTACTGTACTGCATCAATATCTTTCTGACGTTACGTTAAAGAAGATCCAGTATTAGACAAGAACATGTATCTCTACGAAAGTTTCGCACTATAGGAAATACCATTTGACATGAACGACAACGGTGCAATGTAGCCAGCTGCCGCCGGGCCGCGTGCCTGAGAAGCTGGTGTGTTACGCCGAAGGGCGGTTATACCGGCTGTACAGATAAAGATGCTCGCAAAATGTACGCATACACCCTAAGGCTTGAAACACGTTATTGATTGTACAGTCTACAGTTTACAGTGAACAATGTAATCCAACATTACCGTCAGTCTGCTCTCTCATGTAGGCAATGGACATCTTTAGGCGCTTGATGTGAGCTTATAGGAAGGAAAGAATATCAATATCATATTAGCCACTCACGTTTGGCCACTCGTCAGGAAACTTATTCATATGTATATATATATATATTTATAAGAGCGGTTTTAAGTAAGACTTTTTGAGATAAACAATACCCTTTTGTTCTTCAAGGCCTTCCCTCTCAAAACATTAAAAGGTGAACTAAGGAGTTAACTGTAAACTCACCTTTCTTTATGTCGGGGAAAAGCTGCTCTAAGTTACATGTTTTGAGTCGAGCAAGATGTTTTTGTTCTTTGTAGCCTTTCCCCTCAAACATGCCCTTGTATTGCGTGAGACTTACTCTTTCGAGCCAGTCTTTTGTGTTGAGCTGTGTTTTAATATGACACAAATTAGACTCATGTTAGATGCAAGTTGTCGTTATGCTCTTATTCTAAAACTGTTAAATTTACAAATATGTAGTATGTTAAGAGAATCTTTCCCCGGTTTTGTAAGACCAAACCTGAAGCAGATAGCATTAGTTACGATAAAAGTGCCATCCCATGTATTCTTAGAGGAAGCTAATAGAGGAGTGGATAAGAACAGAATCGCTTGCATACTTAGATGGCTTTGGAGACGCATTTAACAAAAAACAATGCAATTTTAATAGATATAACAATAAAATATTAGCTATTTTGAATAGAAGAAAATGTATGATCCCTTACAGGAATACGACTGCGAAAGGGGTGTGGTTGCAAC